ATTGGGATCCTAATTCTACGGTGTTATTTACTCAAAGGTAAGCTAGTCGATACGACAAATCTCAGTGGTCCATGTTCGTAGCGTCAACAAGTGCGGCACCGTGCGGTGTCAACACCCGCGCACCAAACAACGGCGAGGCAGTCGTCCTTTCCGACGACAGTCACGTGATTCTCATTGGCGGTATGATCACACGTAACAGGTTAGGACATACTCAGCGCGTGAGACACGAACGCACGCGCATGGGTAGTGAGTCAGCTGCGCACATTTACGCAAGTGTCGAACGGAATGGCCTTTGTGGAAAGGTGAGTGCAGGGTACAAAGAGAGAAGAGATAAAAGTATATAGTCCGAATAGACAAATGAATGGGGGACTTATCATGAGGTCAAGTTATACTCAACTTCGAAATATGTAGATCGTGAGGACTCACTGATGTGGGCTAGCTAAACATATCCTTTGTCTTGCATCTTATTCTATTTTTATAGTTCGGACAGTAAGGGGGAGAGACCTGACACAGGCGGACGACACATAGAGTAAGTTGATGTGTATTTTGTATCTTCGCGGTTGTACCTTCAGTAGGTGATGGTCAAACACAACAAATCTAGTCAAAATGGGATCTTTTTTTAGTGTAACATGTAAGTTCGTGGAATATGACTGAAAGACTGAATAAGTCGAAGGTTTTTTTCGACGAACAAATTAGGCCGGTTTCATTGTTGATGGGGCTGTTGAGGTAGGTCAGGTGACTGAATTTTAATCAAGTATGGCAAAGGGGATTTCAGTCAAAGCATTGACAAACCAATTACATAATCATTTACGGTTGTCTCCCTCTCCTCTCCCTCTAATTGTCTGTTTGTAATATGCCACCTCTTCTAGCCCGAAAGGTTGCAAGTTCATGTCTAATAGGAAAACCAGCTCCAAACGTAACTGAACTACACAACTGCCAATGGAATACCCATTTTTGTTGAGACAGATTTAATTGGTTGTTCTTCGCTTGCCCTTGACAGATGAGTTCTACTTTTAGCACCACTTTTGATTAGGTGATTCGCACGTTCATTGGCTTTCTGGTTTGGCTAAGCACATCAGGCTATCAAGCGACTATCCAGGCTCGGGTTCAAGGTACTGCGAGGGAATTAAGAAGACAGTGGTCTGCGACACTCTCTGAGCTGCGTTCCAAATTGATTTGACTGGATTTTCGGCTACGAACTCCAGAACAAGCATTACCGAGATCGAAGGTCGTACTAACGGAGTTGACATTTCACATGTGGCACCATTTGTATGCACTCGTTACCTTACCCCTTGGAAACTGTGCCACTTTCGTTAGTTCCTACAAAAATCATCCATTTGTTTCCGTTTACTGCGTTTTCATTCCGAATCAATTTTTCAAAACATATCATCAAAGAAACCGCTCCTTGAATTTGTGAGCAACTTCAATTTTGGTTCTTGCAGAGTTTAGGAAATAGTGTGTTGCATGATGAGAAAGTATGAAGCAATAAGAGGGTTGTTTCAACGCAGGCTGATCCAGTGACATTCCAAGGTCGGTCTGATGAGTAGCGCACACTGCTGAGTAATGTTCACGATGTAGACAGAACAATAGTTGAGCCTTTGGGAGGATGGTAGGCTATTCCCTGCTATCGTTGGTGTGTGGAGAAAACATGTTTGCAACAAGCAGACAAAGTGTCCCTGGCCGAAAATCTCGGCGAACAATTTCCCGGCCAACTTGCTCGGACCGTATGCATCAGTTCAAAATGGGGCTTACAAGGTGTGGTAAACAACCAGTATCTGTCGGCGAGTGCAAGCTCTAGTCCCTCAGTTCGTATATAAAATCTCAGAGTACTCCGACGTTCACTGAGTATTCTGACTGTATCGATCAACTTATCGGGATCTGTACCGCTGTTGAGTTCAAATAAGAGTGAAAGTTGAGTCCGGTGGCTTGCACAGGGGAGACCCACGCTACTGGTACTCGTCACCGTGGAGTTACTGTTACTGGTTTACAATTCCCCTTTTGTGGTAGCCGAAAGTCACGTGGTTAGAGTAGATGGGAGCGAACGTTCGGTTCCCATATGAAACACACTTAATGATCGTCCCTTTCCGTTTTCTCTTCTGTGTACGGTAAGTAGGGAAAAATAGTATCTGAACTCTTTACTGCCTATTTAACGAGGTCATTGTTCTTCTTCCGCCTCTCAGACTGTCCTTCACTTGAGTATGGGCATAAGTCCACTCAAAAACTTGTTTTCAGGAAAGTAAGCCGACTTTCACTCACCGTGAACATTCGGTCCAGAAATGGGCGTGAATTGGCATGCAGCTTATTGGTTGGAAAGCTATTCGCTATTCTGTATGCGTTTAAGAACGGAATTTCAACGTAATTTCATCAAGAAAGCTACATTTTAGTGATGAAAAGGACTCCATACGTTGATTTCAGCTACTTTTCTTTACCTGTCTGTTTGGTTAGCATTAGTGACCTTTCGCCCTATTTCGCACCGCTGTACTTTGAAACCAGCATAGCTTTATGGACCACTGTCTTAGAGGATATTCGTCGAAAGCCTAGATGTTCTGTGCTGGGCGGGAGCGCAGAAAATGGAGAAAGATGGGTGGCCTTAGTGGTTTCTCGCGCACAACTTCGCCTTTGCCAGTGTAAATCTAGCAAGTTGTTATCGCGGGAGCTTGATGCTATTGGTTCAGTTCAGTGGGCCAATCGCTGCTGAGTGTGCTTGGGTGGGATTGGATGGGAAACGAATGTCTAACTTCGCCTTTGCCAGTGTAAATCTAGCAATCTGTTATCGCGGGGGCTTGATGCTATTGGCTCAGTTCAATGGGCCAATCGCTGCCGAGTGTGCTTGAGTGGGATTGGATGGGAAACGAATGTCTGGTCCGACTGCACACAGGTCCTCGATTGTTTCATTGATGTAAGCTCAGGCGTCTCCATATTGGTTCGCATCTCCACCGGCCGGATGAAAACAGAACCGGAAGGCTTCGTTTGCGTTCCCATCAACAGCACCTTCTAAGAGAAACGAGTTTGGAATCCGCGAAAGTGTTTCCTCAAGGGGAAATATGCATCGTATATGAAGTCTTTTCTGATCATTCGAAATCTGTTCGATATCTAAAAGAGTGCATAAAAACACTATGGACCAAGGTAAGACACAATTCAGACTGCTCCTCACGACAGACAAAATATAACTCATTTTGAAATACGAATCTCGATTTCACTCCTTTGGCTGGTTTCACGTCTAAATTCAGTCGAGTTTTATGCAAGAGGTCGTGAAATGAAGAACTGGGTTTCACTCCGATGTGATTCACCAATGCGTCCAATCAGACAGCCCTAATGTAGCCAGGTTTTCACAACGGAGTGAAAACGGATCTCTCTCTATTCATTCGAACTATCATTGTCCGTTTTGACAGGTCGCACGTTGATGTTCGTAGTGCGGAAAGGGAGGCGTGAGTTTCCGTTTCAGAAATGTTAAACACATTTGGGTCTGTTTGTGAATCTGAATATTGCTAGAAGACGTGGGACAGACTTTAGATGTAATAAACCATTCCTAAGGTTGCTGGGAACTGTCCAACAGCTTCGCCCTACTTGGGGCTCATTAGGTAGGCACAGTCTATGAGTTTCCGTCAACCTTATGTTCTATTTGAAACCAAATTGTACGAACATCAGCTGGGTTCCAGGTGAGTCTCTCGTCGAAACCAAATTGGCATGCAGATGAGCGTATTAGTCGAAGAAGTGGATGGCTTTTGCCTGATGTTACCGTTTCGGACGCTTTTGTCGGCTGCGATACGCCTCCGTTCTGGTCCATCTGACCTCTGATCCTTTTCGTCAGAAATTGAATTTTAAACCACTAGTATGAATTTTGTTCTTTCACTTACTGACTACTTATGTGACACAAACTAAGCTCAACAGCAACGCTCGAACCTCGTAAAATGCTCCCTTCTTCTATTCAGCAGGTGAGTCGTTTGCTGGTTCGAGTCCATGCCATAGACTCTGAAGACTCGCGCACCCGCACAATAGTTTTCATTTCTTTCCTAATCCTCTGTTGCACTAAATTTCCATCCTGACAATAAGACAGACCAGAAACAACTCAAAGAATAGTACAAACTAAAGATTCCGGTGAAACTCAGTTGAATCTTCCGTCAACACCATGTTCGTTCGATGTTATTTTGACATATCAACTCCCTAAAATTTCATTCGGAACATTTTCAGCCCCATTGAAATCACGCTCCCCAGACTTTCACAAGTACAGTGAGTTCTGTTTCGTTACTCTTGTTAGGCTTGGAGAATCGATCACGTGATGTTTCATATTTCAGTGTTTGGCACTGGCCGCACCCTCGTTGATGGAGTTCTACTCGTTCACTTCTGTCCTCGTGATTCGCATCGTCGTCAACGTTGAAGAACTGAAACAGTGGACTCTGGCTGCACGCGATATTTACGAACGAAAATGTGGCTGATTTAATCTCGCTTGCTGCCATATGCAGCTTGCAACAGAAGAGCGTATTCAGGTGCTACAACGGGGAAGAGCATAGTAACTTGGGTCAGGGAGGTTGATTGAAGTACATGCTGTTGTGCACCAGGGTTTGAATTTTAAGAGTTGTCTGGAGTTGCATGAAATTGTCCAAGTTTTCTGGCCTGATAAGATAGCAACATGCCTTCAGTGAACAGCGGTCACTGAACGCTAGGAAGACACCATTCTCACCGAAGTAGATTTGCACTTTTAACTTGAATAGTTCCACAACCAACGAAAGTATGATAATATAGTACCTAACGGTTGAAGATCATAATTCCCCGTGTGTCATTTTTTTACACAAGCTTCACATATCTTGGTGGTTACGGAACTCCAACCAGCGTACCACGGGTGTAGAAGCAATTTTTATGGTATATTATTCAGCGTTTCAGTTCACCGCAAATTCTAAATTTAAGTAGGCTCGGAAAAATACACTCTTTTACAAACTAATTTGGTTTTTGGTGATCAGGCAACTGAGTGTGCTGCACCAGGCCGCCTCATGTTTCAGTCGCTACGATATTCGAGATATCGCGGTACTTATATATTTGTTACGCACTACTCGTAAGGTTGCTGAAAATCCGTCGACAGCCCACGACCGGTTTCGCTCTTCTTGGGGCTCATCAGGTAGGCGCAGTTCCCGAGCTTCCGTCAACCTTATGACCTACTTGAACCCAAACTGCACGAAATTAGCGAATATACACTCATTTGCAAACTAATTTGGTTCTTTCGAGAGAATCACCTGGAGCCAAATTAGTTTGCAAATGAGTGTACTTCGGTAATATGGTGAAATTTGGTTACAAGTAGAGCATAAAGTTGATGGAAACTCGGGGACTGCGCCTACCTGATGAGCCCGAAGAAGGGAGAAACCGGTTATGGGCTGTCGACGAATTTTCAGCAACCTTATGAGTAGTACATTATAAATATTAAGTAGGGTTGGTTTTCAAACAAATAACAGTAAAACAACGAGAAACCTGAGTAGAAGCTTTGATTCAACACAGACAAATACGAATGAACTATGCACAACTCTTGTCAACGTGTAGTGTCCTATGAGCATAGCGAGCTTTATTCAGCTTCGAATCCATTGCCATCCAAG